CAATTATGCTGAGTCAGGCTTGATTTTTAATAATCTTTTCCTGTTAAATAAATAAATCAAAACAAACCAATTATTTTAGCCGAAATTCAGATAATCACTAATGACAATAATAAAAAACATGTCTAATCATTGCAGACAAAGACCTTGTTTTATTATTTTTACCTTATAAAAAGCTGTTTATATCTCCATGGTCGCGGGTCGCCACTACAGGCAGCCGCCATCTTGTCTACGAAGGCTCATGAAGGACAAACTGCGGTGGTGGCATCAAAAACGGTTTTAGTTGTAATACTATAAATGTAATATTTGTTTACATGCACAAAATTTTTTAATCGGATTGAAATGTATTCAGATTGAGTAATCCAAATGTGCTGTTTACATGGACACAATCCCGTCATGAAAAGTGTTTACATGCGCAGTGTTGTAAACGTTCAGCTCTACTTCCCTGTTACAAACGTAAACAAAGCTCCTCTGTGCGCTCAGGATGGACCCATGTCATCTTTTAATAACGGTAGAGATGCCGTTACTCCTCGGTTGAGCTGCAGATGAAGCAATACGTGCTTTTTATTTTTATTTTTTGTGAAGCAACGTCTGCTGTTCGTTTCCTTTTTCATCTGTTAAGAGAGCGTGGAGGAAAAGTTCTGCGCGGCACAGCACAGCTGGAGCGCTGCTGTCCCACCAGGTGAATGAAAGTCAGCAGACATGCACACAGGTCAGTTTTCTACAGTCAGAATAAGATGATCTGATTAAGTTTTTACATGAACCTCATTCCGATTATCAATCGACATAACCCACCCTTTTCATTCAGATTAAACATTCATTCGGATCGAGCTCAGTCGGATCAGAATAATCCAAACGGGCTGTTTACATGATGCATTTTTATTCTGAACAACTGTTTAATCTGATTACTTTTGTCCATGTAAACATAGCTGGGATAATTTTACTTATTAAAGCTCATAATCTTACCAGTTGAAACATCACTAGCCCTGAAGCTTCTGGTAGACATCACGATTGGAATTATCAAAGGTTTTTGACACCTGAGAGACACCGTAGCGTGGGGGTGGGGGTGGGGGGAGGACCAGGGAGGATGATTCAACCACTCAACCACTAGATGTCGCTGAAAACAACAAATCCTACACACTGTGCCTTTAAAGAGTAACGGGTGAAAAGTGAGGAAGTGTGGGTGACATGCCCCACTCGTACCCTGTGTCCTTTACATCAGTTTAACTTTTAATGTTTTGAGCAGCTTTTTAAAACGAGTCAATCACTACTGTAGAAAACTTTATTATTCATCACCAGCACATTAGAAACAGCCATGTGTAAATGCTCAACATGTTTCTTTATTTCTGGTTTAGCTCTGCAGAGTGACATTTTGACGCAGATTTGTGATCAGAGTATCACTGAGGCCWTCATTCCAAACTCAACAAAGCCATCAGTGGAAACCCCCTCTGCACAACACAACTCCTCTAACAAGCTTCCAGATGAAGAGAACTCACAGGTAAAGATGCTCTCACAGAATTTRGAACTATATTAGGCTGATTCTGTTTATAACAAACAAGGATAATTAGAGAAATTGCATTTTCTGRYAAAATGCTAYTGTGAATGTTACTTGAAAAAACATMATTTAATCAASTACTTCAGCATCTAGAAGCTAATAATATGCTAAGCAATAGCCAACATGGTTTCCGCACGTCAAGGTCAACCATGTCTGCATTAATTTTATTCACTGAACAAATACGTGCTGCTTTGAACAAAGGTCAAGTAACTGGTGCTGTATATATTGATTTTCAAAAAGCGTTTGACACAGTTGATCATTTTACTCTCTTGCAAAAGTTGATTTCTTTTCAACTTTCATCATCTGCAATAC